TATCCGCGGGGACGGTGATCTTCAGGAAACGAACCCGGGCGCTGACGAGCTCACTTGAAGGAGGAAGGTGAAGAAGCGTAGCTAATTTCTATTTCGATATAGAGTTTTCTGATTAGCACATGCCGGATGTCCGAAACCCCAGCGGGGAACAGCAGCGGATTGAGAGCCAGGGAAGCTAGCTAAGCTCATCGGGGGCACGATTAGTGCACTTACATCCAGCCTCAACCCAATATCTCGTAGTTCCACGGTACTTCGTTGTCCCCAGCGGATACCCAAGCTGTCCAGATCAAGGGCCTCTGTATCGACAAGGCCGAGACGAGATAACGCATATCGGAGCAATCGCTTTTGGAAGAACGACGGCAAGAAGTAGGCCATTTTGTGGGGGGGCAAAGGAGCCGGCGGGGGCTCATTTGAAGATGGCAACTGTCATCTGAGCAAAAACATAATAAGGCAACAAGGACAAGAAAGAGACGATCGGGGAGTTGAGAGATGCCTTGCTCCTGGGACAGGCACCAGCACAACAAGTGTGTCGGGGGAACAAATGCGGAGGGTTTGCTGAAGTGCCGGAGGGAAGGATGACGTTCGGGGATGTAGGCGCTAGTCTAGTCTAGTGGAGGAGGAGAGATAGCGAAGATCAACCGCAATAGTCAGGCGGAGTTTGGGCCGGGCCTCCCCAAATCACACCATGACAACTCACACTTACGTCGAACTTATCGCCTCATGGAGGGTTTTGAATTGTCAACCAGAGGATGAGCACTCGGCTCCGGGAAAATATCCAGAACAGCTGGCTGAAGTGCAAATGCCGGGCAAGCAACTGCCAACTGAACCATGGCAAATGAGCGATTCGTTCGGTGTCTGGTGGACTTCTCGACAGTTGTTTATTTAGCCTCGGCCTAACGGTGATAAAACGGAAAATAAGAATTCAATATTAACCACGAGAGTGGAAGAAAAAGTAAATAATATCCAAAGTATTATCGAAGATGAAGAAGAAACAAAATCAACGGTCATCCTGCTGCAGAATCTCTCCTTTGTCCCCCTTATCGCACTGGCTCGTGGAGTGACTAGTCCATCATCCGCTCTTCTGAGAGTTTGACCTCCACTCAATGAATCATGCAGCAAGCAGCAGCCGACATGATTTTGCTCACCAAGACGCTGATCATATTCTAGTCTAGTCTACATTAAATTCCACTCTGCCTGCGACCGGTCAAACTAACGACTGCTGTGATGAGGCGATGTTCTCCTGAAAAGCTGCAAGCGTTCTTGCTTTGCATAACGAGCACGTTCTGCTTATTCATCTCGGCATACCGCCATATCATTACTAAGCGTACCCCTTCATTAACTATGAAGGTTTGATGCAACTTTGGGGAATGGCTGTTGACGGATACACTATGGGTGGAATGTGAAATAATTCAGTCTTCCTCTTCGCCTTCCGCCTCCGCAAATTCCTCTGTAACCCACTGGCAGAATTTCTCAAAATCTGCATACCATTCCTGCAAACGGCTAGCCTTCGTCCCCTCCCCCAAGATCCCTTCCCGAAGATCGGACAGCCACTCCGTCGAGGGCTGGTCTTGGTAACAGCTCCACCGGATGGAGTTCTCCACCATCATTGCAAGGCCCGTAAGACCCATGCTGTCAATCCCTTGGACCACTTGCCAGAACTGTCGGGTCAGGTCGTTTGGTTCACCGAGCAGGCCCGGCGCATTGATACCAAGAGATACAGGAACACCACGGGCTAATATGGCAGGTAAAGGATGCGTTTGAATACTGTCGGTGAGTCCAAGGATCTCATCGGAGAGCGGGCTGCACTCAACCAACATTTTTTTCTCCTTGATCAGCTCGATCAGTAATGGATGTTGGCTGAGCGAGAGCCCTTGGCATATCCTCCGCGCGCCCAACAAGACAGCATCGAACAAACCTTGGTCTCCCCCATTTCTCAGGGATTCGCCAGCATGGAAGCAGAAAGAGATATCCAACCCCTCTGCAGAACACTCTTTGCGAAACCAAAATAGTATGGGAACCAGATCAGTGAGCGAGTGCTGATCATCCTTATCCACTATCATATCAAACCCGCAAATCGTATCGGGATAATCATACTTTGATAGGATGCAATCTTTCATGTTTTCAACAATGTCTCGCTTCGACAATGTGCGGGGACAGGCCCATATAATCCGCGCTCCGTGAAACCCTTGCCCTTCCTGCGTCCCTTGGAAACGTGCAAGCTCTTCCTGAAACACGTGGCACCAATCGCTATGGCCTTCTTCGGGGATATCCTTCCCTTCCTTGCGATATGGGAATGTAAAAGTCGTTCTGAACTCCACGTATTTGATTCCATCGCTCCAAAGTCGAGCAAATACATGTCGCAAGCATGCCCGCAGGATAGGCTCATAGCTGAGCAGAGAACTCACAATCGGCATCGCACGGCTATGATAATTCGCACGTCCCGCTTGAGGGATACATCGGCTCCGCAGCCAGTCACGAAACCCATTCTCTCCCCCATATGGGAAGGAAGAGGCCGCCTTTCTTAGCGGAATCAGACTTGAGGGCTCGTACGCAGACGACCACACAGTAGGTCTGTCTTCCATGTCTTTCGACGCTGCCAACGAGTTTTGAAAGGCGAATAGCTTCTCATCCAAGTCATCCTGGGATAACAAAGGCTGCGTCGCAAAGACACACAATCCCGGGGTAGTGAACGCCACATCGATTAGAAAGTCCGCATTGATCATGGCATGTAACGGAGCATGCAGCAGAGATCCTTTAGGCATCGCCTTGATGATTCTCCACAGCTTTGTCTGCTGCACCCTATCCCAATCCAGGGACTTGGCCTCGGGAAAGCGAGCATCATCTAAACCCGACAGAGAAGAAAGCTGATGTAGCTCCCGGTCGCGGATTCTGGCGACAATATTGCAAGCTCTAGCAGCTGTTGGCGGTAAAGCCTTGGTAAGGTTGCTATCTAGTATCGTGAATCAGCCAAGTCCACGTAAATATGTTGAGCGTGATACTACCCACCATGCCGCTGCTTTTGTTCTTCCAGAATAAGCGAACTCCGACCCCGCAGATATTGCTGGATAAAGGGATCCTCAACTTGGGGAATACCCTCCTCGATCTGCCACTCCTCATTCGACTGCAGCTCCATGTTGTGCATGTTACTATGCATATTGTAGCGTGTGAAACAGATTTGCGGGGTAGAGTCGACTCAGGTACCATGAGCTGGCGAAAACAATGAGGTCATATCACGACCTTGTTTCTTGATTTTCCTTATCTCTTAGCTTGTAAAACTAAAAGGTAACCCGTCTATCACAACAACAGGTTGTGTAGTGTAATGGTTATCACTCTGGATTCTGATTCCAGCAATCCCGGTTCGATCCCGGGCACGACCTTTTTGTCTTCCTTCTTCCTTGCACACAAGCAGTCTGTCGCGTCGTTGTTTTTGACCCAGTCAAGTCAAAAAACTGTTCGGCTGTAATTGATGGTCAATAAAAGGGTATACCGATGCGGTCGCCGATGTCTACCGGTTGCGGCCACTGCACCGACCGGTCGATTCTTTTGGAGTTTCTGCCTTTGTGTATTCCACACTGATCATCAATCGGCTTCTCCGTTTCAATGATTCCAGAATCCGCTTATTGTAAGACATCCGGGCTGGTAGTCAACGGCAATATATATCTACCTTCCATGTCTTGCAGTCAGGTTGTACATCCCCGTCTCACAGTCCAACGACTTTCCTTGCTCCAACCCGCTTGCCGTTTCCCTCAATGTAACGTTTCAGGTGTCGCAGGCTGCATGCGGGAATAGGCCATCCAGACAAAATGCAACTTGCACGAAACACACCATGTGAGCTCTGGGCTCTGTTCCAGTGTAGGGTCCGTTCTGCTGTCGAGTATGAATGTCTCGCCCTCTTTTCTCCAGTATCATCTACTAGCGTCGGGGGTGAATATATATAACTGCCGCAGAGGCCGTAGGAATCAAAATCACCAAAGTGATATCTAATAGAAGCAAATGGAGTCGAGTATTGTTTCGCGAAAGAGAAGGTGTCCATACCATCATTCATGTAATCCAATTGCCTACAATCTGGGCGTCCAGACGCCAAGGGTACCACGAACCCAGTACTTGCACGCCATGCATCCTCTATTCTTTCATACACTGTTTCAGGACTGTTAGCCGTGGACCTATAGTTCCCAGATGGAGCATCCGAGAGTTGAGAAATCAGACAAGGTGACCGGGAAAACAACTATTTGGCTTATTCCCACTGTTTTTTGGAAACCGAACGATCAACTGCTAGTGATTTCCTTGATTTATTTCTTGGGAGTGCTTTCCATAGAGCATTGTGAGGCCTTAGTAGTCAAGCGTACTGATCTCGTCCTGTGATGAAATCGCTGGCTGCAACGTCATATTTCTCCGAGTTTTGATCAATGGTAGCCAGCCAGGTGGATGACTAGGAGTCATGGCCAAACTCATGGGGCATCACGAGCAATCGCAGAAAGCTTTCTGCTGTATGGCATCCCCCTGGTCAAGGTTTCGCACTCCAAAGAGGTCTAGACGAGGTCAAAAGCAGGAAGTCTGTATCTTTCCGCCATTCCTCTGGAAATAGGAGTTAGTAGCAACATTCGTCACCGGGGCCAAGTTTGCATCAAAATGAAAAAATAATCAAAAATCAAACATCGAAAAATACCAGGCAAAACCATATTGGTAAGGCAATAGTGTCCACAGGATTTGCAGGATTATTGTTCTGATGCAGCATGCATACTAGAACCAAGATACGGCGCAGACCACACCTTTTCCGGCCAATCAGACCGACTGTATTCGAGCTACAACTAGTAAATGCCCAAAAATTCAACATGGAAAGCATTGCAAGTCGATGCAATAGTGAGCCATGTGACCGGTCATAGAGATGTCATCAAGAAGCATATTAGTTAGCCCCTTCAGCACAAAGAATTAGGATTAGGCTAATGGCCGGAAGGCAAGATAGAACAGGTTGCTCAGTCGTCATCAATAAACTTACACTACTACGCACAATTTTCTGGATGAAAGAGGACACCCCGCGAAAATTGCTTGTCCCTGGACACACAGCCAGTAACAGCAAGCAGCAAAAGTCCCAGGTGACACAAGGACGAGAAAGTATAAAGGTTAGACCGCCGGAGTGGCCGTGACTCCATCCCTGGCATAATGCGTCTTGCCCGTCGATAGAGCTTTTTGACCCCCGTTGTACAACCTCGAGGCTTGATTATGACCGGAGCAACATAAGCTGCTTAGTCTCATCAATTCTTGATCAGACGTGTCTCACCGTAAGCCCACCATAAGACACCTTCTGTTCGCGTGCCATTCTTCCCCGCAAATTCCTTAGAAGAGGCTGCAGATGCACCATGGGACAGCCACTTATCCCTTGGATCCGTGACTAACTCACCGTCTCCTCCCCGAGAAGTTAGTACCCCAGAGATGTTGGCAGATGAGAAAGCCCTGGCGATTAGCCAGAAGACCACGATCATGTCACAGGCTTGCAGCGATTCGAGTGAGCCTGCAGGTGTTCATGCAGGTAATCCAGAAATCCCCCGCGGCGATGATATCAGTGCCCCAGACACGAAGAAGCTCCCCACAGAAGAACATCAGGGGAAACAAAATGATATCGAAGGAGCCGACATAAGCCAAACTCCTCGGCAACAGTATCGGCGTTGCATGTCCAGACACTCCAGGCATGTGGCATATGCTGGAATTCTGATACTTTTCACAGGGTGAGCTTCGATTGCAGCGCTTTCAACCCCATAGATTTGCAAGCTCACCTATTCCTGATCCCCAGGTGGTGGGTCACAGGGCTCATCCTTCACCGTGATGACCTAGGATGGCTAATCCCCTTTCTCGTCTATCTGGCTATCGCGCTGCGTATTCTTTTTCTTTATCTTCCCATCTCTGTGCTCACCAGACCGGTTTTCTGGATCTGGAAACAGACCGCCTCACGTATTGTGAGCTATGTGCCTCCGAGGTTTCGTATACCAGGAGCAGCGTTAGTGACAATAGCCGTGATTATGATCGGTTGTTTCGTCTCTGCGGATACCCCAGAAAACACGCGAGCCGACAGAGCAGTTAGCCTATTCGGGCTGATTGTTTTCTTATTTATCCTATGGCTCTTCTCTCGGGACCGCAGTAATATCGTCTGGCATACCGTCATCGTCGGCATGTTGGTCCAATTCCTTGTGGCTTTATTTGTCCTGCGGACAAAGGCGGGATACGACATCTTTAACTTCATATCGACCCTCGCCCAGAAGCTACTGGGGTTCGCAGAGCAAGGTGTTGACTTCCTCATCGAGACAGGCTGGGCTGAGAAACACAAAGGATGGTTCATCGTTAGTGTTATCCCTGCAATTATGTTCTTCGTATCTCTTGTGCAGCTCCTATATCACGCCGGTATCTTACAATGGTTTGTTCGCAAATTTGCGACGTTCTTCTTCTGGTCGATGCGTGTGTCCGGTGCAGAAGCGGTTGTTGCAGCGGCCTCCCCGTTCATCGGGCAGGGGGAATCAGCCATGCTTATAAGGCCATTTGTACCGCACCTGACCATGGCGGAAATTCATCAAATCATGACCTCTGGATTTGCCACCATCGCCGGCTCTGGTCTCATCGCATACATCGGCATGGGCGTCAATCCTCAAGCCCTTGTATCTTCCTGCGTCATGAGCATCCCCGCCTCCCTAGCAGCATCCAAGATACGCTGGCCCGAAAAAGAGGAAACCCTCACAGCAGGCCATGTTACCGTCCCGGAAGACGAAGAGCATCAAGCCGCCAACGCCCTTCACGCGTTTGCCAATGGCGCCTGGATGGGTATCAAAATCGCAGGCATGATCACCGCCAACCTACTTTGTATCATTTCTCTGGTCGGTCTAGCCAACGGTCTTCTCACCTGGTGGGGACGCTACCTGAATATCAACGATCCTCCTTTGACGATCCAACTCATCATGGGATATATCTGCTACCCTGTTTCCTTCCTTTTGGGTGTTTCCCAGGATGACGACCTCCTGAAAGTAGCACAACTAATCGGCATGAAGCTTGTGATGGTAAGCTTATTCTCCAATACCCAGAAACTACCCCTAACAAGGGATACAACCGTTAGAACGAATTCATAGCATACTCAGCCCTCCAAACCGACCCGCAATACCAATCTCTATCTCCACGATCAAGACTAATAGCCACGTACGCGCTCTGCGGATTCGCGAACATCGGCTCCCTAGGAAACCAGATCGGAGTTCTGGCACAACTGGCTCCCGAACGGGCAGGAGATGTATCTCGCGTGGCAGTTAGTGCAATGATAACAGGAGCGATCAGCACACTTATGAGCGCGGCGATTGCAGGAATGATTGCGATTTAGAGTGCTGCGGGTAGTAGATCTAGCGCCATGTTTACCTAAGTGAGAGTTACAACAATGTGCCTAATTGAGCCGTGTATTGCAGTTGTTCGGTTTGGGATGGCAGTTGATCTTCTGCAGCAATAGGATAAAAAGAGTAACGCTGAATTAGCTATTCTTCTAGCTGTCTGTTTGCGTGCAAAACAGATGTAAGAGGAAGATCTCCGATGGGCTTCGACAAGTCCGGAAGACGTTGCCGCTCTTCACCTGCTTTAGGAAGGTGCTGATGCTTTCACTCCCTTAGCGGTCTCTGGACTCCAGATGTAATGTACCTTTGTAAGATTGCACAAAGAATTGGATTATGAGACGATGAGAGGCTAATTGAGCAGTGGCTACCTATCTAGTACCTATCGTAGAGTTTTAAGCGTTGTAGCTATGTAGGACTATGTGTACCCCGTGGCACTAAGCACTATCTAGGAAAGTGACATCGGGGTGAGTGGAATAGAGATGGAACAATGAACCGTAGGTTGTTTATTTGTTTACTTACCAGTATTTGCTGTGCTTGCCTGTGGAGGACACTCTAGCGCACAAGTCTATTATCCCGTGCCTTTATATAGCCCTGGTTATGGTGGGTATATTATCGGCGGGGTTACTTTTCATCCTGGTGATGGCAATAGTAGCTCCTATGTATTCTGCTACTAGGTTAGTAGAGACAATGTCAACACTTATATTGATCGAAAAATACAATGGAAGATATCTCTTTGTTCAGTGACTGCCTACGTAATAGCCACCAACGAACCCAACATCATGTGCAGGTAATAATAAGAACGAATGTAAAATCAAAGCAGGGTATTTGTCCCGGGACACGCGGGCTCCTGTATTTCCATTCCAACTGTGGTCCCAAACGAGAATTCCCCGAACGCATGAACTCCTGAAAAACCATCGGTGCTGAACTCATGACTTCGTTACGACGAAGATTAGAATGCACCATGCAACCGTTGCCCCCAAATGAAACGCACAGACCCCGATCTCATGCAATGCAAGTCGGTCCGTCCCATGTCTGCGGGAACAACCGAACGGACGACGACGATTATAGACGAACCAATTATTCGATGTCTTCAATGTCGCGGTGCCGGGCCATAACGTGTTTCTTGTACTCCTCCTGGTCGGTGTCCCAGAGCTCAGCAGCTTGAGCGTTGAGAGGGCTCGCGCTAAGGAACGGTTAGCATTAACGGTCGCAAACATTGCGATGTGGTTTCGTCTTACTTGTTAGGTTCACCCAGCAGACTCTGCAGACTGAGGAGAACACTCTGCACGTTGTAGACGGCACTCCACTTGTCCTTTAGGATGTCCAGACAGATGCGGCCGGAGAAGTCGACATTAGGGTGGTAGATGGGAGTTTTGAATAGAACAGTAGGGGGAGCGTAAGGGTAGTTGTTGGGGAAGGCAAAGGAAAGACGGAAAGTAAGTCCTTCGTAAGGAGTTTCAGCCGGTCCGCTGATAGTGGCAGTCCAGGAGAGGAGGTTGCCGTCGGCGTCAGGGAAGGCCGAGATTCCCGGAGAGGGGGAGAGCATTAGCTGCATCAGCTCGGCTTGGAGGCTGGCGAGATAGAATGATAATCAGTATGCAAGATTCCAGAGGAAAAGTGAGTGATTATGAAGGCTGCATTCAGCATCGGAGTACAAACCGTTTGGTGACGCTCTGAATGTCGGTTCTCTGGGCTGACGAGTTGAGCTTGGACGCCTCGTGGGCGTCAGGAGCCGAGTTCTGAGTGTCTTCCATGCTGTAGTCCATTATGAAGAAGTGTAAAGAGATCGGGGGTATAGCGGAAGTAACGGTCAGTTTAAGAGGAAGAGACGATGACGAGAGTTTCCGGGATGGGAGGAATGCCAGGTAGAGTTGAACGGACTGTCGTAATCGGTAGGAAGAAGAAGGAAGAGGAAGAAGAAGAGGGTTGTCTGGAATGACGCTGGCTCCGAATGCAGCGGGACAGTTGGCTGGAGGGGAAGCGGATTGACCCACCCGATGAATCCCCGGATGCTGTGAACTCAGAACAAGCCTTGATGGAACGTTAGGCAAAAAAGGTGGAGGAATGGAAAAATGTTGTCTGCCAGTATCACTGAAGTAGTCAAGCTCAAAATCCTAGAGAGATAGAAAGCGAGGGGGGGAAGAAGAATAAAAGTGGGTTCATGTCGGGTTGACAATAATGGAGGGGATGTTCGGTCTTTCATTGTTTACTCGGCCATCCGCCCGGCAACGCCGCCGCCAACTGATTCTTTGGGGCTCCACCAGATGACCGGTCCAGATCATCTTCATCCGTCACGCTTGGGAAGTTATCGTGAGTCGCTAGTCATTTTGTCATCGCGAAACTCAGTTTTCTAGTGATTCTCCCGTGATGGGACCTCAAGGTTCTTGTAAGGAGAAGAAGTGATGATGTACCATTTTTCCTACAAATCTTCTAATCTTGTTGTCGGTTAAGTGGAATACTGGCCAGTGTCGATGCAAGTTCATACAAAGTAATTGTGGTGTCGTTTCGGTGCGACTCCGGATCTTTTTCCCTACAGTTGGGCTTCATTATTGGCTGCTGCGGGTCCAGATCGAGCCAGCAAAAGCAGCGTGGCCAGTGTGTCTGTTAAGTCCAGGGCAGATCAGGCGGTCAACTAGTCGATATAATGCTCGTAGCTGCATCTCTCCTGGTCTTCGCATTCCTCACTCAAGTCAAGTAACTTCAACTATTCTCCTGTCTTACTGATCTTTGGTTCCATCTCTCTGTCGAGATATCCCCCTTCCTCCCTACCCATCATGTTGGGTCCACTAAAGGCTGTGCCAGGCAGCCGATCAACAGATTACCCAAAGAGGATAAAGTGGCTCTCGCGTTCCGCCCAGCGCGTTCTCTTCAGCTTCGTTCTCCTTCCATCGCCCTTGCATTGATACTCGCCACCATCACCCGATCATGGCTCAATATTGACTTCCCCTTAATGACACGATCTGTGAATCTCAGTTGATCTGTCATATCTACTCGTTTTCGTGAACCTTCGTCAACCATGCACCACTCTCAGCTGGCCCCGTTGCCGAATGACTTGCCGTTTCGCATCGTTTCCAAAACAATTGGTCAGGGTGCTTACGCTTGGTAAGATTGACTTCATCGATTGTGCTCTGATGTTTAAGATTTCAAGCATCTGCTGACGAAGAGTTACGGTGCAGCATCAAGAAGGCCGTCCCCACCTACACAGACAATCCCGTTTTCGCAGTCAAGTTCATCCACAAAGAGTACGCCGCCCGTCATGGAAAGGTCAGCCCGCGTCAGCTACAAATGGAGGCGACAGTCCACAAGCATATCGGGGATCATAATAATATAATCTCATTCTTCCAAACCGGGGAAGATGACATCTGGCGTTGGATCGCGATGGAGCTGGCCGAGGGTGGCGATCTGTTCGACAAGATCGAGGCTGACGAGGGTGTTGGCGAGGACATCGCGCATGTATACTTCTCGCAGCTGATAAGTGCCGTGGGCTATATGCATTCAAAGGGCGTGGGCCACCGCGACATCAAGCCGGAAAATATGCTCTTGACAGCCGACGGGAACCTGAAAATCGCAGACTTTGGGCTAGCCACGTTATTCGAGTACAAGGGCGTGACGAAGTTGTCTACAACTTTCTGTGGGAGTCCTCCATATATTGCACCCGAGGTGATATCTTGCAGTAGCAAACATATGATGAAAGGTGCAGGCTACCGACCCGATCTAGTGGACATCTGGTCCTGCGGAATCGTCCTGTTCGTCCTCTTGGCTGGCAACACCCCGTGGGATAGTCCGACAGAGACCAGTTACGAATTCCAGGAATACCTCGCAACAAATGGACGCACATCCGATGAGCTTTGGCAGCAATTGCCTATAGAGACTCTTTCGCTACTACGTGGAATGCTGAACATCGACCCCTCAAACCGCTTTTCCCTGGAGGACGTTCGGAGACATCCTTGGTATACCCGACCGAACAAATACCTATCCCGAAATGGCACATTAAGGGATCCGATCAACTTAGCTACAACCATGTTCGAGTCACTCCATATCGACTTTTCCCAAGATCCTTTCGCTCAACCCCATGGGGGTAGTTTTGGTGGGGGACGAATGGATATCGATCTGGGTGATGGGATTGATGCTGAACAAAGGATATCATCAACGCAGCCGGAGATGCCGAGGTCTGATATGCTGGTCGACTGGGATACCCCGCAAGTCGCGGATGCGTTCTCATCAACACAACCCCTGGGGCGACCGTTCTCTGCCGACGACATGTCGGCCCTCGACCATCTAGAGGATGAGCCGTCAATGTCACAATTCTCGCCTCATCCGTCCGTACCCCTGAGTCGGACGCAGAAAGCGCAGCGATTCCATGACATCGTGCCTTCTCGTCCCATGACACGATTTTTCTCTACGTGGGAGCTTAAGATTCTAGTTCCTCTCATCTGCGAGGCTTTGCATCGTCTAGGGGTTCCGGTTCCTGCGGTTCCCGCTGTTTCCGCAGGGGACACTTCCGCCATGCTTCGTACCGTGACTCGGGATGGGAGGATGTGCACTCTGCAGGGTAAAGTCTTGATCGAATGTGTCTCCGAGGGCCTATTCGAGATTGAGTTCATGAAGGTGAAGGGTGATCCGCTGGAATGGCGGCGTTTCTTCAAGAAGGTGGCCGTGCTTTGCAAGGACGCCGTCTACAAGCCTGACTGCTAGAATACAGCCAGGATATATGCTTATGCACCTCGACCAGGCACCCATGTTATTGCTGTTATTGCCTGGTGTCACGTCTGACGGTTAATGTACGAGTAATGCCATTTATGACGGTTGGGTAAGGATTGGGTAGGGAAGGAAAAGGTTTTGGCTGCCTATCAGGTTCTGGCTCTTAGTTGATGTTAGTGTTTTGACTCGAATGAGTGTCGAGAGAATGGAAGGCCTTCGGAAATTTCAAGAATCATCAAGAATCCGTGCGGTGCAACTTTGCTATATATAGGACTAGTAATCCGCCTATGATAGCGCTGGAATGTAGTATCCGGCATTCCAAATGCAACAAGAGCTTTTAGGTTACAGGGCAGAATAATTCAATTGAACTTCTAGACCAACCTACGTAAGCCACATAAGCCTTTCTATATGCCTTAGCAGTTTTAATCAGTTACGGGTGAAGTTGATCGGCGATGCTAGACTGAACTGTTGCTTGTCGGCCTGCGCATCCCCCACGTGACGACGGTCTAGATTGCGGATTGTGGGGGGATAAAATGGAGCTTCATCCCCAAGAAACAGTTATGGCCTTTGCTTACACCCTCCGTCGCACAAGCTAAATGAGTCAGACCCGTTGGCCCTCAATGGTTCTCTTTTCCCAGTCTCACCCATGGAGAAACTCCCCGTAGAGATCCTCTGCGAGATTATTGACTGTACGCTGTTTGCCCCCATTTCTTCCAGGGTCCAGGTTACCCCACATCACCGGTTTCATGCCATGTGCTAGACCTTCATTAGCATTAGCTGACGCACCCTTAGATCTCACCCCACACGAGCGGGTACAACTTCAGTCCGTCTCGAGGCGGCTATTCTCCGTGGCCCGGGATAACAATCTCTGGAGACTCCACTGCTTCGAAGAGTCATGGAGCGCTTCCGGAGCCTTGCGTTCCGCTACCAACAAGACCTCCGAGAGCCTGGTCACCAACTCCACGGCTTCCCTCAGCTCATTAGGCCAAACTTCGCTTCGATCGCTGATACAGCCAGGCGCGTCTGGGCTCAGAGATGGTAAATCAAGCGGCTTGGATCAAACGCCGTCTTATGGACAAAGATCCAGAGCGGCGGCGTCGTGGGACCCGTCTTACGAAGGGGAGGAGGTGAACTGGTACTCGGAGTACATTGCTCGAAATGGCCCGATTTCACTTAGTTGGATGCAGCAACCCTTCTCCAGGGTATCACAGGGTGGGAAAAGGGAATATCGAGAGGTCAAAGGAATGGGACTGCTCCGGGACTGGAGTACTGCTCGACAGAACAAAGTCGTTGCGCCCCTTGATGACGGTAGTGTCTGCATTTGGGATCTCAATCACTCGCATTCGATTGGATCCCAGAGCACAAAGGGTAAGGTTCTTGGGGTCAGCTCGCCGGGGATTTTGATGGCCAACCGGTTTGGCAGACGAGACAACTCTGGAGCAAAGCAAGCCTTGGAATTTGTGAATCTCGGAGAATGTGTCAGCGTAGACTCTATGCGTCGGAGGGCCTACCTGGCTGTCGGAAATATTCTAAACGAGGTAGATCTCGAAAGTCTCACTGTTATTTCCCAACAACGCTTCCCATGGTCCGTTTTTGCCTTGTCCCAGGAGACGGATTATTCTGTACCGTTGACGGTGGCTACCACTCTGAGTCTTCACATCTACGATGGCAGAATGTCAGCGACGGAGGAGCAGGAGGCTATCACTCTACGCTGTGAAGAGCCGACCGTTTCGCTAGTCCCCAAATCTGAGATCTATTCTCCGCCCGATTCACCACTTTTGCAGCTACAACCGAACGGACAACCCCCGCACCGGATACGGAGCCCTGATCTCTCAAAGAATAGTGACAACTATGCACCCTTATTCCAGCCAGGACCTCTCTCGCTTCTACACCCTCCCGCACCGCACGTGAACTCGATCTTCCTCGCTGGCCGATTTCCCAGCATCTTACAGTATGACCGTCGCTTTTTCCCACGGCTTCAGAACACAATTCATTCTGGTGGTCAACTCTGCGGTCTTGCTGCTGTTCCTGCGCCGCGATTCCCTGTCTCTCCCAACTCCGAATTTCCCGCCTCCCACAAATTGGTGGCCTGCGGTGACTACAAGGGGCGGGGTTCTCTTGAGCTCTACAATCTCACGCCCTCCAACACCAACGCCAAGAGCGATCCATCGGGCTGCTCGTCCAACCTGTCTACAGTGTACCAAAATCGGCAGAGTGTCGCTAGATCCAAGGTGCTCTCAGTCGAATCACACGGGACCCGAATTGTATACTCCGATGCAGACGGCAATATTAAATGGGTTGAGCGTGATGGACGTTCCGAAGTTCGGCGCCTGAACATTAATTCATACCAACCGCAGCGAAGATACTACCCACAGCGCAATGGGGAAACGTCCACTCATTTGGGAAACAACGCTGGTGCCAACGGTGAAGAGGAAGAACAGTCCTTCGGATTATGGGGTAGCCTATCGCGGTCTCGCAGCGAGGGCGAAGTTGCTCGAAAGATTCTCCCAACCGGCGGGAGCTTGACAGGTGATGAACTACTTGTCTGGACAGGAGAACACATCGGACGCGTCCATTTCTCAAACCTCCCGGACATGGGTCCAGATTCGGACGAAGAAGATGATGCTATGAATATCGATGGAAATATCGGGGAAGCGGAGCGTGAAGAGCGACGGAACAAACGGCGGGAGCTACGTCGGCGGGAAGATGAATATGCCACGATGATGCGCAGGGCAGTGGAGAGGCAGGCCGACGAAGTGAGACGGATGGGGGGCCTGGGGCTGTGACTTGAGGATGATGTTTTCCTCCAGTAAAATAGATGAAGTGCATCTGATTAACGCATACTTGTTTTCAAGATTCTGTACGTACCCCTTCATGCATGATTCGTTGGTTTGGTTGAATATACCTCCAGTTCGGGCTTGATGTTATGGTAGCGATACCCTTGTGCTTAGATAGAAACTGCGAGTTATTCTTTTTAGATCAGACTTACAAGATTACACTCTGTCTCCTGACCGGTTGCCCCTTACGTTTGTCCGATGAATTGCCTAGTTCCACTGTTTTCGGGTGCGGCGATAATCTCCAACGGCCTCGGCCTGCCGCGATGACTGGCTTCTGACAAACCATTAGTGAGCCCCCACGGGTTTTGCCTTTCCTTCCCATTCTCTCGGTCTCTTTGAAGGGCTCCGCTTTTGCTTCTTTGCTTTCAGTTACACATAATTTCTACCATATCCTATAAACAGCTTCTTCAATTACCTCATTCTAAAAGTAAAGGCGAAATCCCATCCCCTCTGTCATCTCCTCCCCGCGTCCTCCGAATCCGAGCCTCCGAGTCTCCGCCCCGAAGATACAGTCATCCCACTCAAGGATCGCGACGGAATCGCAAAGCACAGTGTACTCGGCGCAATTGTTATAAACCCTTGAGGTTTCGCACCTAAACTGGGTTCAATTCGTGAACAGCACCATCAATTCCAAACCTACCATTCGCCCCATTCCACCAGAGGAACCATTTACCCTCAAGGTAGCATTTAGCCATTCCCTCAGCCCCGCCTCCAATTCCGCAAAGCAACGAGGGGAACAATTCTCCAAGACAACCACCTCCTTCATACAAGACAACCAAACCTGAACAACCAGCCAACATGCATTCTCCTTCGGACCCAACCCTCCAATTCGACTCTATTGAGGACACAATAGCAGCCTTCAGTGAGTCACCCAGCTCCAGAACCACCCACCCGCGCCGGCGCGGGGCAAATCCATCCCACCACACCCATGACACATACATACTACACCCATATAACTAACAACCATACCAATGTACCAGAAAACGGTGAATTCATCATTGTGCTCGACGATCAAGACCGTGAAAATGAAGGCGATCTTATCATCGCCGCCGACTCCATCACTCCGGCGCAAATGGCCTTCCTAGTTCGCCACACAAGGTGAAACCCCCATCTCCCCCACCCCCCACCAGCATATCAAATGTTACTCAACAAGATCATCTATGCTAACGATGAATGAGCAGTGGGCTGATCTGCGCCCCTGTCACCCCCGAAATAGCCGCCCGACTCGCCCTCCCCCAAATGGTTACCGAGAACGCCGATCCCAAGGGAACCGCATATACCGTCTCCGTCGACGCAGCTGATCCTTCCATAACAACAGGTATCTCGGCACAGGACCGCGCCCTTGCCTGTCGGATCTTGGGATCTCCCACCTCCACGGCAGCAGATCTGCGACGACCCGGCCATGTGATCCCACTACAGGCTAAACCCGGAGGTGTCAGGGAACGTAAGGGACATACAGAGGCGGCAGTGGAATTCTGTCGGTTGGCGGGCAAGACACAGGCCGGTGTCATCGCCGAACTTGTGGAGGATGGAGAGGTCGTCCAGGGAGTTCCGGAGATTGGAGGCAACAATGGGATGATGAGACGGGATGGGTGTTTGAGATTTGGCAAGAAGTGGGGGATCAAGGTGTGTACGATTGAGGATCTGGTGGAGTATGTTGAGAAGGTGGAGGGTGCTGCTGCCGTTAATGGGCACTGAGTGAGTGAGTGAGTGAGTGAGTGAGTGAGTGAGTGAGTGAGTGAATGTTGGTCGATTCCTCATACATTATTTCTTTTCTTCATCGCCTCTCTTACATGTCTTCTTGTTCCATATTGTTCTTGTTGGAGCATCTTAACATGCGTGCTTTCTACTGTCTTGTTTCATACCTTTTATATTCACTCTCTTTCGTGGTTTACCTCATGGGACCGGATGGAACTCGTTGCATTCAAGGGGGAAAACAATTCGAAAATCGGCTGGGTGTATATACTTACTAGATGGAGGGTGCACGGTTGGAGGGATGTCGGCTTCGTCAATAGAGTTAGTAGCTTTTGGCTTGGATATCAACCGAATGTATACATATGTTGAACATAACCATATAATTATCACTCCTTCCTACTGAAGTAGTAGATCAAAACATCCAACCAGGAACCTGGACAAGCCTCTATAACCATTTAATTATCCGGGTATCGATTTTGCTAATATAATTGTACAGGTAACCATAGAACAACCCCATGTCTAATACCCCTACAAACGCCAGTATAATGCAAT